CCCGTGCTCCTGCTCGGCCTCGGCCTCCTGGCCGGCCTGCTGCCGGCGCTGGCCGCCTGCCCCCAGAACTGCCACTGCCACGGCGACCTGCAGCACGTCATCTGCGACAAGGTGGGGCTGCAGAAGATCCCCAAGGTGTCGGAGAAGACCAAGCTGCTCAACCTCCAGCGCAACAACTTCCCGGTGCTGGCCGCCAACTCCTTTCGGGCCACGCCGAACCTCGTGTCGCTGCACCTGCAGCACTGCCAGATTCGCGAGGTGGCCGCGGGGGCCTTCCGCGGTCTCAAGCAGCTCATCTACCTGTACCTGTCCCATAATGACATCCGCGTGCTGCGCGCAGGCGCCTTCGACGATCTGACGGAGCTCACCTACCTCTACCTGGACCACAACAAGGTGACCGAGCTGCCCCGGGGGCTGCTGTCCCCACTGGTCAACCTCTTCATTCTGCAGCTCAACAACAACAAGATCCGAGAGCTGCGTCCTGGCGCCTTCCAGGGCACCAAGGACCTGCGCTGGCTCTACCTGTCAGAAAACGCACTCAGTTCTCTGCAGCCGGGGTCCCTGGACGACGTGGAAAACCTCGCCAAGTTCCACGTGGACAAGAACCAGCTGTCCAGCTACCCCTCGGCTGCCCTGAGCAAGTTGCGGGTGGTGGAGGAGCTGAAGCTGTCCCACAACCCCCTGAAAAGCATCCCCGACAACGCCTTCCAGTCCTTCGGCAGGTACCTGGAGACCCTCTGGCTGGACAACACCAACCTGGAGAAGGTGAGCTCCTGGCTGCAGAGCCTTGCTGGCTCCTTCTTCCCTTCCTGGAGGCCCCAGGAGCCAGGGCCACAGCTGGCACCGCCTCCCCCACCCCCTCAGATTCTCTTTCCCTTGGGCTATCCCCAAGGCCAGAGGCACTGCCACCTCTGCTCCTCACCTCGTCATAGTTCCACCCTAATCCCCACCTGGCCGCCAGTCTCAGCCACTGACCTCTTGGGAGTCCTACCTATAGAAGGCTTGGGGCTGCCTAGCTCCCACAAATGGCCTCCTAGGAGGCATCTCCCGTGCTCCCAAATCCCCCACTGGGAGCAGCCTCGGCCTCTTCCTGTTGGGCCTTCCGCCCCTCCTCTGCTGTTTTCCGTCTCCAGTAAGACTACTACCCCATAAAGGAAGGTTTGTTTATTGAGGAGCCTTCCAGAGGAGCTGGGCACATCAGGCCCACAAAGAGACGCTGTTCCTGGTAGGGGCTGTGTGCTAAGGTAGAGTGGGGGGCTGGGAAGTGAAAGGGAGCAAATACCTGAGGAGGGATTTCTCCATGCCCTCAGAGACCCTGGCGGGTGGCCCCTCCCAGTCCACACACACAGTCCACTGCATTCCCAGGTCCACTTCCACTGAGTAGGGTGGTCAAGACATGGGGACCCAGGGCTGCCTAGGCTGCGGGCCTGGTGCCCATGGACTCTATGAACGGGCAGAGGCAAGAGCACCATGACCAACCCTTGGCACAAGACCCAGGTGTCTCCCCCCAGGGAAGACTGGCCGGGCCTCACTGTCCCCCAGGCTGCTGACTGCCCTGTGCCCACCCCATTTCCTGTCTGCATCCTCACTCAGTCCTTCCTCCCCTAGGATGCCCAGTGTCTGGCCAGGTGGGGCTAGCTTGGATGAGAGCGGAATCCCTTCCTTGGGGCTGGAAAATCACCCCGGTACAGGGGCTCCAGCCAGGAGGTTTGGATGGGGACCAGGACAAGGTAGAGAGGACAGTCTGGTTACTAGAGAACTTCACACCCAACCCAGGCCGCAGGAGGAGGGCACAGGCATGGATGGAGATGTAGGCAGAATCCTCCCTGGGCAGCGGCCAACCTATGTTGGGGTGGGTGTAGCCTGCCCAAGCCTGCCCTTCCTCAGCCCCAGCCCCCCCCAGCTGACGCTGGAGTCCCCTGTGGCCCACCAGTGCCAGAGTCGTCTCTCAGTGGGCAGCAGGAGAGCCTATCAGGGACAGATTTGGGGCAGGGGAGGCCAGACAGGAACTGTGGCGCCTGGGCCAAGATGTGGGCACCAGTAGAACGTTTCCTGTGGAGCCGTCCAACCTGGCCCAAGTCTCCACCAAGGTGGCTCCACAAATAGCGGCTGGCAGGCAGGGCAGGAGCTGTGAGGACGCAGCTGGGGGAAGTCCCGGGACCCTGGGACTGTGGGGAGCCTGGGCCCACTGCCCACCCCACCAAGCACACACTGTGTTCACCATGTACCAATTTAGGCTGCTGGGGCCAAACTGTGGCTGCCTCTGCCATCCCAGTGTTTGTGCAGAGGATGTGGTGCCAGGGGCAGAGGAGCTTGGGTGTGGTCCTGCGGCTACTGTTTACCCGCTGATGTGACCCTGGGCAAAAGACTGAACTTTTCCTTTTTTCCCATCTTCATATTGGAAATAACACCACCTATCTCAAAGGGGGTTGCAGGGATTAGATCATCTGAAACCACTTGGTCGCACTGCTTGGAACACTGCAGACCAGGTGTGGTGGCTCACGCCTGAGATCCCAGCACTTTGGGAAGCCGAGGCAAGAGGATCTTTTGAGGCCAGAAGTTCAAGACCAGCCTGGGTAGCAGAGCAAAACCCCTGTCTCTACAAAAAAAAGTTTAAAAATTAAAGAAGTAAAAAGTAGGGCAACCCCTTCGGGTCCCTTCCCACTGTGGGAGCTTTTCTGTCCTTTCAGTAAATCCTGCTTTCTCACTTTAAAAAAATAAAAAAGTAGAAAACTGGGAAACTCCTCAAGGTACCACTGCTCATGATCAGAGAGGAACTTTGCCCCTCTGGGGCGATGGAGTTGGGAGAGGCTGGACATCGGGGCTGGGGTGCTCACTCATGTCATCTTGTTCCCCAGTTCTCAGACGGTGCCTTCCTGGGTGTGACCACGCTGAAACATGTCCATCTGGAGAATAATCGCCTGAACCAGCTGCCCTCCAACTTCCCCTTTGACAACCTGGAGACCCTCACCCTCACCAACAACCCCTGGAAGTGTACCTGCCAGCTCCGGGGCCTTCGGCGGTGAGAATGCTCCCGTGCCAAACCCCAGAGCCAGCTCTCATGTGACAGGGGGGAGTCACACTGGCTCTGCACTAAGACATCCCAGGCATACGTCCTGGATCTGTTACCTAATGGGCATGAAAGCCTCAGTTTCCCCATGGGTAAAGTGAAGATGACAGCTCCAGACTGTCCTGGAACCAAATTCAGTCCTGGCTCCATAACTCTCTGTCTCTTCCCCTGAGCTCTCCCTCACCTACTCTCTGTCTCTCCAGGTGGTTGGAAGCCAAGGCCTCTCGTCCTGATGCCACCTGCGCCTCACCGGCTAAGTTCAGGGGCCAGCACATCCGTGACACGGACGCCTTCCGCAGCTGCAAGTTTCCCACCAAGAGGTCCAAGAAAGCCGGCCGCCATTAAACAGGTGGGGGCTAGGTGGCAAGGTTCCCCTTCCCTTCTCTGGAGATGTCAGCAAGTAAGCTGGTATCTCCCAGGAAATGCCCTCCCCCTAGAGGGACAGGCAGACCCTCCAGTTTTGCAGAGAGAGGACAGGTGGACTGGGGCCCCCTCCCAGGGAGAAAAGGATACTCCCTGACCTCTCTCGCAGGACTCCCGCCATGCTCTCCAGCCACTGTCCAGGTTTTGGAGGCCTGACATCCATCCTTGCCTCTTGCAGGTCCTGACCTAGCCAGTCCTGGTGACTGGCCTCTGCCTTCTGCCGGAGAGACTACTGACCTTCCTGCCTCCACCCCCACCTTCTCCCCACAGCCTCTGCTGATGCACAGAGCTGCCCACATCTAGACACGTCCTGGCAGGGAGCCTCGGACACTCCACTACCAACCCAGCGCCACCCGGCAGTGTCCTGGGGAAGACACAGAGCCCCTCCCCAGCCACCATGCCATCCCCACTTCCTGACTCCTCTTAGAGAGGCTGTTGCCGAGACCCCCAAATCCATCAGAACCAGAACTGAGTGGTCATCAGGATGGCCACCTTTCCAGAATCATCCTTCCTTCGTTCCTCTTTCCCCACCATGTGGAAGCAAACATCAGACCCTTGACCCAACCCTTGCTTCCAGAAAGGGTCTTCAGCCCATACCCCAATTCTGCCAGCTCCCGCCTGCCAGGACAGTCTAGCAGGACATCGGTGCTTTGCTGCCCACCTCCCGTGCTGCATTTCTCCCCCAGATTTCTATAAATATAAATTTATGTATGTGTGATATTTACTCCCCTGCTGCCTGTCTCCTTGATTTGCCAGGCGCTGATGAGGTCAGACTGTCTTGTCTCACATCTGCTTTCTGGAAGGAGGGCTGGCCGAACAGGTGTCCCTTGGAGACCTGGCCTGGGCTCATCCCCATGCCTGTCAGTCTGATGTCACCCCAGGCCTGGCCTGCCCTCTGCCTACAGCCCTAGCCCACTCACCACCATCTCCTTCATATTGATCTTGTTGATGATGGCTCGGATCAGCTCTGGGGGTGCAGGGGACCCAGCGATCACACCTGAATCAGAGAGAGGGCTGACACAGCTCCTTCTTCAGGCCCAGGGTGCCCCCACCCACAGCTCCCTTGAAGGAAGAACATTCCCTTTTCTCCCTCGACCCCGAGCCTTCTCTACACCTGGCTGCCGGTCTTGTTCTGGTGGCCAGGGACACAGGGGGTTTGCCTCCCTCCCACCCATGCTTCTACAGTGCCCTTCCTGACCCCCAGATAGAAGACTGAGCACACATCTAGCTCACCCAGGCTGTTCCTGGAGGGAAGCATCCCCCTCCCCATGCTGGGCTGTCCTTGGCCCCATCCCACCTCCACACATGGTCGAGATGTCATAACTGGAAAAGTCTGGCTGGTTCAGAATGTCCACGAACATCGTAGGGGTGCCGTACAGGAAGGTGCCTCTGTGTGGGGGAGGTCTGAGAATTAGGCTTGGAAGTGGAAAGGAACTCTCTCTTGTCACCGCCCTTGTTGTGAACCTTCTGCAAGGGCCCAGGCTGACACCGAGGGGAACAGGCAGGAGCACCTCTTGAGGCAGGAATGGGTTCTCTCTTGGGGTCCCCCACTATCCTGTGCCCAGGTCTCCTGGCTGGAGGGAAAAGTCATCCTGGAAAGGCATCAGGGTCCAGGAGTGAGGAATAGGGGCTGTCATCTGTCTGCGGTGGCCTTCCACCAGTGCCCACCTCTCTTTGCTGACGGCCTCCAGAGCCTTCTTGCTATCGAAGATCGGAGAAGACAGGATGAGAGTGGCACCGTACATCACACACACCATCGTGCCCCCCACGGAACCCAGGCAGTGGTACAGAGGGCTGGGCAGGACCACCCGCAGCTTCTCTGGCGTCTGGTGGTGGAGACAGGAGGCCCGTCTGTCTTGGGGTCAGCTGCCCCCGAAGCCAGTTCCTCCAGCTGCAAGGGAGCCCACAAGCCTCATTCCACCCCCGGCCCAGTCGCCCCCTCCCAGCAGCCTTGGCCTGGGCCCGGCGCCGCCTCACCTTCAGATGAAGCTTCAGGCGTTCCCCTATCATGCTGGAATTGTTGACAATGTTGTAGTGGGAGAGGGTGGCCCCCTTGGGGTTGCCTGTCGTCCCCTGATAAGACAAGCAGGTGATGGCCTGGCCTCCTCCCCATGTCCTTCCCACCCCGGGCTACCACCTGGAAGAGCTCTGGACTGGGAGTCAGGAGACAGGGATGGCTGTCCCAGATCCATCTGTTCATTCAGTATATTCATAAAAGGTCCACCACGGTGCCTGGTGTCAGGGTCCAGAAATGTGGGAGCTACAGTCCCCGTCTCATGCCACTTGTCATGAGGCTCAGAGAACTTTGCCAGCCGTGAGCTGCATAGGCTTAGGCAGATTCGCTCTCTGAGTCTCAGTTGCCTCATCAGCTAAATGGGGACAGCTCTCCCAGCTCTGACCCGTGGTGGTTCAGTGAATATGCCACTGCACTGGGAATGAGAGGGCCAGGTGCTGGGCATGCGGCAGGAACACCAGCCGCTGATATTTTCCAGGGCAGAGAGGACAGCTCTAGGCGGGTCTCAGGAGAGAGACCTCTGCTGTCTCCTCTCCGCCTCCCCATCCCCCAGGGAAGGGTCCCAGGGGCCGGGGGCAGGTGTCAGCCTGGACTTGGGGCCTGGTGATTCTGCCCTACCGAGGTGAACTGGATGTTGATGGGGTCGTGGCAGGACAGGAACTGCTGGGTGTGCCGGAGCCGGGCCAGATGCTGCTCTGTGCTGCCTGCCGCCACCACGTCATCCAGCAGCAGGGTCCCTGGCATCGGGGTGTCCACCGAGATGACTGTGGACAGATCTGGGAGCCTGAGGCCAGAGAGGATGGTGAGAGGCAGGGGCTGAGAGAGGGTGTGGGAGACGCCAGCCTCATCCCTGGGGCCAGGGGGGAAGTGAGCATCACAGGCCTCAACACCAGACACCCGCCACCGGGACGCACCCACCTCTGACTCTTCAAGGCTCCCGGCTGGGCATTTTCTAGCTCCGGACAGATCTGCTTCAGGATGTTGTAGTATTGCTGTGTCTTGAATTGCTTGGGGAACACGAGGGCCTTGCAGCCCACCTGGGCAAGGGGAGTCCCCCAGTCTGCATTCAGCAGGAAGCCCCAGACTGGGACCTGGAGAGTCCTCCCCTATAGATATTCTCTCTCACACACATGCCCTGCCCTCTGACACACGCACGTGCACCATACTCCAAGACAGTAGACACATGTAGTAGTCCCAAGACGCACACACCACGACCACGCCCTAAGACAACATGCATCATAAACCAGGACACACACACACACATACACTACTGCCCTGACACACAGGCCTCCCAACACACATGCCAGCCTGTGTCTGACCAACCACCCTCTCCATGGAGTTGGGGCCTCCCTCAGTCCACACACAGCCCAAGGAAGGACACGCTGCTTGTCACCCACCCATGCATGCTCTCCCTCCCGTCAGCCTCTGTGAGAAGCAGAAGCCCCCTGTGCCACACCCCAGCTGGGTTCCTTCCCCAGGAATGGTCATACCTTCCTGAGGACATACTCCAGCTCCATGGCCTGGTAGGCTGGGTTCACAGACACCTGGTGGAAACAGGGAGGGTGTGTCCGTGTCCTGGGCAGGTCAGGCCTTCCTACTGCCCCTCCACCTTCAGGGGGCACACAGGCCATACTCTGTTCCCTCTGACCCTGCAGGCCTCCTTTGGGGGGCTTCAGGAGAAAGCACTACCTGATCAGAAACTAGTCGGGCACTGGTTTGGTCCTGGGGCCAAGGAGTGGAGGGGCTCCCCTTGAATGACATTCACCCCACATACCCAGCTGTGCCAGGCAAGGCCCTCCTCACCAGAATGATGCCCGCCTGGGCGGTGGCCAGCTGCATGAGCACCCATGCATAGGAGTTGGGTCCCCACATGCCCAGTCGGTCCCCCTTGCTGAGTCCAATGCTCAGGAGGCCAGAAGCAGCTCTGTCCACCTGGTGTAAACAGATGGGGGCATGAGGGAGGATGAGGGCCAGCAGCAAGGAGCCCATGACTCACACTCCCAGTCATTAGCTCTGGGCTTCTTAACAGAACTACCAGGAACAAGGAGACAGGCAGATTCCCAGGCCTCGGCAGCTCTGCAGTGGAGCCTGAGCATAGGCATGGTTAACAAGTGTCCCAGGAACTGAGATACAGGAGGCAAGGGGCCACCTCTGCCATCCCTTGGGGTTCCCAGGTGGCCCTAGCATGCTTCCCCATAGCCAGGTGCCTGAGCTCCTGGTTCTGCCCAGTTTGGGAGCTAGCACCTGCCCGCTTAGAGGGTTCAAGGTCAGGACCCACCTTCTCCTTGAGCTGGGCAAAGGTCAACCTGACATTTTCGTGGAGAACCACCAAGGCCTCTCGGTCCGGGACCCTCTGTGCTGTGGTATCTAGGCACCGGCCGACAGTCTTGCTGATGAGACGGATTCTGGTGCGCCCTTGAACATAGCTGAGGCCTCCAATGGGCAGGGGTGCCCCACCATCCAGCTCTCCGGAACTGTGGGGAGAGAGGCTATGAGCTCCACTGTGCCAGGTGGGCCTCCTTGGACCAAGGGTGTGGCGTATCCAGCCGGGACACAGGCTGCCAACATCATGTTGGAGACCACTAGGTTTTCTCCAGATCTTCTTAAGTCTATAGCCCCTTCTTCCCAAGACCCTTCTCCCAACCTCAAGCCTAATCCCAAGGCAGCAGAATGGGGGCAAGATTAATCGAAGCTGGGGGCAATGGGCCTCCCTCACCTTCCTGGGAAGGATGAGGTACCCTAGGGAAGCCCGGGAGAGCAAGCTGACACAGACAGATAGATCTTACAGGCAAGCCATGCTCTGTAAGATCTAATTGTCTGTGTCAACTTGCTCATCCCCTGCCCATCCCCTGCCTCCTAGAGAACAGAGAGGTCATTGGGGTCCTTCTAGAGGAACCAGTGAAGCCATGCTTGGACAGATGCTGGAATACAAGGTCTTAGGTTTCTGGGCTCCTTAGTGGGCCAGTTATTCTTCTCTGGGCTTGAAGGTCAAAGACAGAATAAGAACAGGATTTAAGAAGTCAGATGTTCACTGAGGCGGAAGGATCGCCGGAGCCCAGTAGGTTGATGCTGGGTGGCCGTGAGTGTGCCACTGCACTCCAGCCTGGGTGACGAAGTGAAACTCTAACTCAAAAAAAAATTTTTTTAGCCGGGCTCGGTGGCTCAGCCTGTAATCCTGCGCCTTTGGGAGGCTGAGGTGAGTGGATTGCCCGAGCCCGCTGGTTTGAGACCCGCCTGGGCAGCGAGACCTCATCTCTACAATAAATCAAAAAATCAGCCGGGCGTGGTAGCACATGCCTGTAGTTCTGGCTACCTGGAAGGCTGAGACAGAAGGGTGGCTGGAGCCCAGCAGATCGAGGCTGCGGTGGCCGGAAGCAGCCACTGCACTCCAATCTGGGCGACAGAGTGAGACTCCAACTCAAAAAAAAAAAAAAAAATTTTTTTTAATTATCCAGGCATGGTGGTGTGAGCCTGTAGCTCCAGCTAATTGGGAAGCTGAGGAGCAAGTATCACTTGAGCCCAGGAGTTTGAGGCTGCAATGAGCTATGATCACACCACTGCACTCCAGCCTGGTGACGGAGCCAGACCCTGTCTCTAAAAAAAAAGGAAGGAAGAAAGGAGAGAGAAAAGGAAAGAATAAGAGGGCAGATGAAGGCCCTAGGAGAGGAATCTGGGAGGCTTCTGTGGCTCCACAGGCTGGCAGGTGCCAGGTACCAGATGTCGCGAGAAGCTGGGAGCCTGCAGATGAAGAAGCAAGCCCCTGTGCTCCAAATGGCGCCTGGGCTCTGGCTCCCACTCTCAGATGATGTTGCAAAGCAGGCAAGTTCTGTCTCCAGATAGGTAAGAATTTGGTCAAAATCAGGCAGTTAAAGCAAAGGAGGCCGGCCACAGTGATTTACGCCTGTAATCCCAGCACTTTGGGAAGCAGAGGCGAGAGGATCGCCTGAGTCCAGGGGTTTGAGACCAGCCTGGACAACTTGACGAGACCTCGTCTCTACAATAAATTGAAAAATTAGCCATGTGTGGTAGCGTGTGCCTGTAGTTCCAGCTACTTGGAAGGCTGAAGCGGAAGTATCACCTGAGCCCAGCAGGTTGAGGCTGTGGTGGCCATGAGTACCACCACTGCACTCCAGCCTGGACAACAGAGTGAGACTCCGACTCAAAAAAAAAAAAAGGCAAAGGAGGTAGACGTCACACAGGAGCACCCAGAACTTGGGAGAGCTGAGCTGGAGGGTACCAAGCGTGGGAAGCAGCCTCGGGTTCAAGTCTAGGACTGGGGCTCCTTGCCGAGGAGCCTAAGTGCCAGTCACCTCACCCCTTACCTGGGGCTGCTGTCCACCTCAGGTTACGGGTAGGAATGGCTGGGCAGAGGCCCGGGCAGTCCTAGGAACAGCAAGTTGGAACTTCTGACCTCCTCCCAGCACTACCAGGTAAGATGTGATCCCCAGTGAGTCAGGCTGGGGGAGACCCTGCTGCTTCCATTCCTGCTCCACTGAACTCTCTCCACTTTTTTTTTTTTGAGACAGGACCTCACTCTGTTGCCCAGGCTGGAGTGCAGTGTCATGATCACAGCTCACTGTAGTATTGAATTCCTGGGCTCAAGCGATACTCCTGCCTCAGCCTCCCAAGTAGATGGGACTATAGGTGTGCACACCACCACACCTAGCTATTTTTTTTTTTTTTTTTTTGTATAGATGAGGTCTCGCTATGTTACCCAGGCTGGTCTTGAAATCCTGACCTCAAGCAATCCTCTACCTCCGCCTCCCAAAGTCCTGGCCTTATAGGCGTGAGTCACCATTCCCAGCCTCCTACTTCAAATTGCCTGTTTACTCTCTGGCTAAACAGGGATGAATAGATGGCCTTGTCTGATCCATGGGGTACAAGGAGGCTCAAGTGTGAACGGGCCTGCAGAGGTGCGTTGGGAATGGTGGCGTGCTCTGTGATGGACAGGCATTTTACCATCCGTGTATGTGGTTATTGACCATTAATTCATTAATTCATTCAACCCACACTCGGTGAGCACCCATATGTGCCACATACTGTGCTAGGACTAGAGAAAGAATAGGCCACAGTCCTTCCTTTAAGGAGCTTCTTGTTCCTGTGGGGAATTAGACACATCAGCTCCTCTGGGTGGAGACAGTCTGGTAAATCGGGAAACGGGAGTTGAGAGGCAGACTGTGGGTAGACCCCGCCCTCCACTCCACCCCCGTGAAGCAGAGGCTCAGCATCTCGGCCTTTGCCCGTTCTCTGTCCCAGCTGAGCTGCGTTAGGGTAGCCTCTTAGACCTGGGCTACCCATATCATGGCCGCCTCACCCCTACAGAGTAATTAACTAGCATTCATTCCTCCAACAAATATTTAGGAAACACCTGCCACACACTAGGCCCAGTGCTAAAAAATGAACAAAACCAAATCCAGTCCCTGTCCTTAAAGAGCAAAGAGTCTGGTGGGAATAAGGGAGAGTGCACTTTCTTAGTAATGATGAACATGGTTTATAAAGCTGGAAGCATCCATACAAGGGAATTTGGGATCACCTGGAGGTTCAAGGAATGTTCCCTTAGGGAACTGATGCCTATGCTGAGAGTTGAAGGCTGAGGAAATATTAAGTAGCAAAAAAGGGAGAGGAGGGCATTTCCAGCAGAAGAGAGTTTGTGCAAAGGCCCCGTGGCTAGAGCACAGAGTGAGAGGGAGTGCTGCAAGAGGTGAGTCAGGGCCAGACCATGCAGGCCTTTATCCCAGTACAGGGGAATCCTCTGAAAGACTAGGTGCGAGGGGTGACCAGAATGTGAACCCAGCAGAAATCACAGAGGACACTGAAACCCAGCAGGATGAGATGGGCCTGAAAACTCCAGGCCCTGGGGTGAGGGGCTTTCTCTACCCATGGGCCCATGTAGACCCACATTGTTTATGAATTGAAGAGGGATGAATGGATGTTGACACCAGGGTCGGTGTTTATGGACTCACCCCTCCCTTCACCCGCAGGGACATCCAAAGGGACTTTCTCGACCAGTGTCACACCTTCCTTCAGGTGATACTTTTTCTTTTTTACTGGCTCTGTCACCCAGGCTGGAGTGCAGTGGTGTAATCATAGCTCACTGTAGCCTTGAACTCCTGGGCTCAAGTGATCCTCCCACCTCAGCCTCCTGAGTAGCTAAGACTATAAGTGTGTGTCACCACGCCCAGCTAATGTTTCATTCTTTGTAGAGATGGGATCCCACATCGGGTGGTGACCGATGTGGACACATTATTGACTGTAGCCCATGGTTTTGACAAGTACCCAGGCATCCTTTAATCAGGAGGGCGCAGGGCCCAGGATGAGGCTGTTCCTACCCCTCCTAGGTCCCCTCTCTGCTTAGTCAAAGCAGCGTGATTTGCCTCAGTTTCCCTTTCCAGGGTTTCTGCCCCAAGGTTCCAGGCTGCCAGCCCTGAACAGCAACTGGGCAGTGGACTGGGGATAGGAACCTCTCCCCGATTAAGGACAGGAAGTCAGCCTTGGGGCTTGAATCACCCAAGGGTGAACTGCCCCTAAATCAAATGGCCAGTGATTCATTCCTGGGGACAGGGCAGCATCACATGGCTTCTAGAGGGAGAAAGGTCGGAGATGTTCGAGATTCCTGACGGGGCACTCAATAGCTTGTTCCGCAGCCATTGTGCTGGAAAGACCTCATAGATCATCTGTGGATTGAGCCTGCATGCCTTGTGGGAGACCATTTCTGGAAAGAACAAGGTATGCAGGACAGGAGGGAGCAGAACTGGGCTTCCCTGTAAATGGGAGAGGAGACCACTGGCCATCTCACAGAGGGTCTGCTGTGATAGGGGTGAGGCAGAGGCCCCGCTGACTTAGACCCTAGGGCCAGGGAGGCGAGGATGAGTATGACGCTGAAGAAGAAATGATACCCAAGCTCTGAAATGCAGGAGAGGCAAGCACCAGACTGAGAACTGGGTTGTGCGGGGCGGGGCGGGGGGGTGAGGTCTTGTCCCATGTGTGCTGTTGGCTGACTGGGTGATCGTAGCAGATGCCAGCAGTGTCTCATATCACACCTCCTCTGCCCAGTCCGGATTTCCACTACAGCTTCTGGGACAGTTTTTTGGGAGTCTGTCTGCTTGGGGGTTTCCTCAAAGTGGGAGCCCCTGTGCCTCAGGCCAGCACAGCCTGGAAGAGAAGAGTCAAATGCCCCTTGGGATGACCCTTCATCACGTGGGGCTGGAGCTTCAAGTCGCCCCCTTTCTGGGAGGTCTGAACCTCTCCAGGATCCTCGTGGCTAAAGGCCTATTGCCTGGGGTCATGACCTCGGTAACACCAACCTGCACTGGCTTCACTTCCTTCCTGTCCTGCTGCTTGTACTTCCTCACTTCCATATCCTAGGATCACTCTCCAAAATAAAAACCTGCACCCAAGCCATTGTTCTCGGGGGCATCCAAATTAGGACCCAGGATTTCTCCTTTCTAGACCTCAGGTTCCCCACCTATCAAGT